GCCCGCCGTACCGCCCCCCCGAGTCGAGCCCCCATACAGGGATCGCTGACCCTGGTGGATGGCAGACGGCGGAGCCTGCCCGTGCCAGCATCTCAGAGCCCAGACACCCAGGTGATGGGCTCCAGCTGCCCATGAGGCGCAGGCCTCAGCTCGGGTCTGTGTCAAGGGCGGCGCACCGGGCACGCTCAGGAGCAGGGATTCTCCTTCTCCTTCCTGCTGCCCGGCCTCGGGGGGCAGCGGCTGGGTGAGCGCGTCCCTCCCTGTCTCTGGCAGCTCAGCAGCTGGTGCAGCAGGAGGAGCGGCTGCTGCTGGCCCAGAGCAGCCTGCAGAACACGCAGGAGCAGCTGAGCGAGCGCGTGGCCGAGGGGGTCCGGCTGGAGCAGGCCAGCCGCAGGCTGGAGGCCGAGCAGCGGGTGCTTCAGGAGCAGCTGTCCAGCAGCGCGGATGAGGTGGAGCAGAGCAGGTTGGGAGCAGCCGGGGACCTGTCAGTGGCCCCTGGCGGAGGTGGGACGAGCCCAGCAAGGGGCTCAGGATGTTGGCACCTGCCCGTGCCAGGCTCCATGACCCAGAGCAGCGCCAGGCAGCACTCAGAGCTGTGGCTGTGGGGCAGGGAGACCCGGGGCAGAGCCAGTCCGGGTGGGAAGGGGCCGGGGGCAGAGCCAGGGTTGATTTCTGTGAGCCTGGCGCGTGGGGCGTTCGGCTGGGGTCCTAGGGCTCCTGGGCAGGAGGAGCAGAGGCTGGAGCTGCTCTGTCTTGGGCCTCGCCCGCAGGAAGCTGCTGGAGCACCTGAAGGCGGAGCTGAGCCAGTGGCAGCAGAGGCACCAGGTGGCTGTGCAGGAGGGGATGCAACAGCAGCACTCAATGGCCAAGATGGAGCTGAAACTGGGGAGCAGTCAGGAGCAGGCGAAAGCCCTGCAGCAGCAGGTACAGGCCGGGCGTGGCCTCCCCCTGGGGCTGCTCAGGGGGGCCTGGCCCCTGGGCGCCAGGCAGGCGAGACCGAAAGGGAGCGCCCTGCTTGGGTGGGGGCGGGGGGATAGTCGCCCGCTGGAAGTATCAGCCATGCAGGAAGCGTTGCCTCACCCCAACCAGCAGTTGCCCAGCTCCGCAGCCCATCAACCCCACAGCCCTGCCCGGCCCAGCGTCTCCTCCCTAGGCTCTCCTGCTGCCCTGGCCGCTGCCCCCTGCTCGCGTGGGGGAGAGGGCGGCCTGGCCTCGCACCTGCAGCCCCCTGTTCCCTTAGCTCCAGGAGCAGGAATCCACCCAGCAGGCCCTGCGGGAGGAGCTGAGCCAGCTGCAGGGCCGGGAGGACGAGCGCCAGCGGCAGCTGCGGAGAGCCCAGGAGCGGGAGCGCGTGCTGGCCAGCGAGCGCGAGGAGCTGCAGCGAGAGCTCCACAGCAGCGAACAGGCGGTGAGCCCGTGATGGGTCCCAGCAGCGCGGGAGACAAGGCCACGCTGGGGCAGTGGCGGTGGGGGGGAGAGCCGGAGTCTGGCTGGGGCCTGTGTGTGGAGGGGTGAGCGAGTGCGCCTTGCTGACAGCCCTGCCGCTGTGCTAGCTGCGGGAGCAGGAGCAGACAAGCCGGGCCCTGCAGTGCAGCCTGGGGCAGTGCTGCGCCCAGCTGGAGAGCACCAGCAGCGGATACAGCAGCAGGCCGGCAAGGTGAGCGCCCGCCGCACTGTGCCGCACGGGCCAAAAGCCGGCCCAGGCGCTGGTGCCCAGCTGACAGCGCTGTCCTCCCCCAGGCCACGCTCCAGGAGTCGGCCCTGGCCCGGCTGCAGGCGGAGCTGGAAGCAGCTCAGGCCAGAGAGCAGCAAAGCGCCCGCGCGCTGACTGCGGCCGAGGAGACCCTCCAGGCGCTGAGGCTGACGACTGCGTCCTGTCGAGAGAAGCAGAGGGAGGCGCTGGAGAAGGTAGGGCAGAGCCAGGGCCTGCCAGAGGAACCCCCCTCAGCTCCCCTGAGCTGGAGCAGGGTCGGCAGCGTCAGTGCTGACCCCCAGGGGCTGGTGCTGGGAGCACTCGGGTCACAGCTCCTCGGGCTCCCCACTCTCTGTCCCCGCGCCGCGTGGTGTGCACCTGCTCCGCCTGCCGGCCCCGCCCTGGCCTCCAGCCTGCGGTCCCAGGGAGTGGGGTGTTCACACCGGCCCAGACGGGCGGGTGCCCCACACAGCCCGCCTGCGCTGCCTAGGAGCATGTTACCCTTCGGCACCCATGGGGAGCAGCCCCTCGCCCCGGCCGTCAGCGACCGCGTCCCCAGCATTCCCGCTTTGGTGCCAGCTCCCTGCAGTCAGTGCTACCCCCCCCAGGCCTCAGTGCAGCTTTGGGGGCCTGTGCTGGGGCAGGGGTTCAGTAGGGGTCTCAGCCCTCCCAGCCAGGCCTGACCCAGCGTGGCGGCTGCCTCGTGCACAGTTCTCGCTTCGGCTGGAAGGCTGGGGCCTGTGCCCCAGGCTGGGGGTGTCAGTACAGCCCAGCTGTCTGCCCCAGGGCCTGCCGCCCCTCCAGAGCGCCCTGCCCCCACTGCCCCGTCCTGTGTGACAGCTCAGTGAGACGGCGCAGGACATGGCGGCCCTGCGGGCGGAGCTGGTGCGGACACGGGCCAGGGAAGCCCAGCTGGAGGAGGGGACGGTAGCCTGTGAGGAGCGCATGAGGCGGCTCAACAGGGAGCTGAAGAAGCTGCAGGGTTTCCAGCAGCAGCACGAGCAGGAGGTGAGTGACCCGCGCGCTGCAACCGCCTCCCTGAGCCCCCTCCACCCAGCCCCCACCTGCCACCTGCCGCCCCTCATCCCTGGCAGGTCCAGGCCTTCGAGCAGCAGCTGGGGGAGCGGAGCAGCCAAGTGCAGCACTGGCAGCGGCGGTACCAGGAGAACGCGCAGGCCCTGGCGCAGCGGGACGAGGACCTGGTCGTAGTCAAGGTGGAACTGGCCTCGTTGAAAGAAAAGCTCCATGGTGCCGCTGAAGAGGTAAGTGGCTGGGGGGGGCGATGGCGTCTCACGCAGAACCCTGGGGCTGGCACAGTACAGGGCCCTGAATGCTGGCAGGGCAGATGAGGCCGTTCGCTTTGTGCACCTCAGCCCCCTTCTGAGCCCCAGGCCTGGGGCAACGGGGGCATGGTGCCTTCTTCCGTAGGGCTCATTGACTGGTCAGCGCCTGCGGATCTAGGGGTTGGGCCGCGGGGGGACAGTGTTGTGAGCTTGACCCTCGAGGGGAGCCTTGTTCGCACCCTAACCCCATCCAGACTCATGTTCCTGGGGAGCAGGCAGGCTGGGAGAATCGGCCCAGCCCCCTGCTCAGAACATGCCCTTCCTTGGCAGAGAGACCGCTTGCAGCAGGACCTCAACGTCTTAAGGCAGAAGTTTGTGGCCTCCAGCAATGAGGTAGGCATAGCCCCCCCGTGAGTGGGTGTTTGCTGCCAGCTGTGAGCCGCTCCCCACCCGAGGGCTCAGGCAACGCGTGGCCTAGGGGCAGGTTATTCCGTAGTTGTCCCCGGTGGGCTCCTGCCCGGTTCGAGCTAGAAGCCTGGCTCAGCTGACCCTGTCTGTGTCCAGCGGCAGCTGTGCAGCGCCACGTGACCCAGCCACAGGTGGGCTTCGGGTGGGGGGGGGGGCGTTCCTAGCTTGGCTGCGGGGCTGGTGCTGTGTCACTTCTCTTGCAGGCAGAGGCGCTGCGCTCCTCCCTGGGGGCTGCACGCTCAGACAGCCGCCGGCTGCACCGCGAGAGCGAGCTGGTGCTGGCCAACGTCAGCCAGTGGGTGAAGGAGCAAAAGTAAGTGAGGGGGCTGGGCCAGAGCTGAAAGGAGCTGCCTTGGAAGTCCCTGCACTACTGCCCAGCCCCACACACACACACACTCCCGCATGAGCAGCCATGGCATCGGGGTAACAAGGCATCAGGCTGCGTCCCTGCAGCCCGGCACCAGCCATGTTCCTGTCTGCGCGGCATTTCCGCCAGACGCCGGCCACCAGCCCAACAGCTGCCCCCCCCCGTGCCCATCACTGGGAGCCCCAGAGACAGGGACTCTGGCTGGGCTCCCACCACTGCATTCAGTCCAGGACCGAGCTGACCCTCCCCTCCGGCCCCGTTTCAGGCAAGCCAATGACAAACTGGGGCACAAGATCCGGGAGCAGATCAAGCACATCGCGCAGCTGACAGGCGAGAAGGAGTAAGTGGGACCAGCGCCCGGCACGGTGCAGACACCTGTCTAGACCAGGGCAGGTTCTAGGGCAGCGGGCTGTGCAGCAGCCCTAAGGGATCTGAGACGGGGGGAGGGAGGGGATCTGTGGCTCTGACCCTGCCCTGTGAGTGGGGGAAGGGCGCTAGCACCCCCACTGCTTTGCTGGCTCCCACATCCTGGCCCTAGCGCCGCTCTGCTGCAGCTGCCCTGGACAGACAGAAGCAGGCGAGCCTGCCCCATCCCCCACTGCACCCAGGGGTTGGTCCTGGCAGCTGGGACCGCATCCCCGTGCTGGGCGCAGAGCCCGGCCCCAGGATTACACCAGCGCCCTGCAGGCGTGGGGGGCAGCCCACGCACTACGTGCAGCATGTAAACAGAGCTGGCCGTGGGGGCAGGGGAGCAACCCAGTCTGAGCTAAGCAACAGAGAGTCCTGGGGCCCCTCTAAGACTAACAGACGGATTGGAGCATGAGCTTTCGTGGGTGAATGCCCACTTCGTCAGACGCATGCGAAAGCTTATGCTCCAATCCGTCTGTTAGTCTTAGGGTTTGTCTATACTTACCGCGCTGGTTCGGCGGCAGGCAATCGAACTTCTGGGTTCGATTTATCGCGTCTTGTCTGGACGCGATAAATTGAACTCAGAAGTGCTCCCCGTCGGCTCCGGCAATCCCGGTCGCCGCGCGGAGG